ATATATATATATTTGGGGCCTGGCCTTCCTCCATCTTCTATGTATATATTATTTGATACCTCTCTCATCTCCTTTCCAGAAAGTACATCTTGAGAGCTTTGAGACACTCCCAATAACTTGAGTGTTTTATCGAGTCTATGCGTGACGTATAGGTGCTCTGTATTTATTCTATTTGGGAAATATCTTCTGCTTTGAAAGGAGAAGTGAGTACCGAGCAGTACTCAATGTGGGACAGCACAAGTAATTTCAATAGTATTATTATTGTCGCGAGGATCCTGGAGTCGAAAGCTCTCCTAATTCATCATAACAGTTTCCTGGCTATCGCTATATTTGCTTGGTTATGTTGACTATATTCTCCGCATACTCCAGGATTGGTCTTACATACGCGGTATACAAGGTTCTGAATGATTCCTTACACAGGTTCCTGAAGGTTGTTCTGGTGTTAGCCAGCCTCGCATACGCCGCAGATGTTATTCTTTTTATGTGGGCTTCAGGAGACAGATTTGGTTTGATATCAACTCCTAGAGCTTTCTCTTTGTCCGTTTCGTGAAGTACTATATCTCCCATTCGGTATCCAGTGTCTGGCCTCCTATTTCCTGCCCCTAGTTTAATTACCTTACACTTACTTGGGTTGAACTTTAGTAGCCATTTGTTTGACCATTGCTTCAGCTTGTCTAGGTCATCTTGTAGCCTCATACTATCTTCCTCTCTATTAATCCTCCTCATAATTTTTACATTATCAGCAAACAATGAGAGGAACGATTCTATACCCTCTGGGAGATCAGTCTATTTCCTCTGGGAGATGAGATCATGTGTGTGTGTGTGTATTCACCTAGTTGTGCTTGTGGAGGTTGAGCTCTGCTCTTTCGGCCCGCCTCTCAACTGTCAATCAACTGTTTACTAACTACTATTTTTTTCTCTCCACACCACACACACACCCCAGGAAGCAGCCCGTGACAGCTGACTAACTCCAAGGTACCTATTTACTGATAGGTAACAGGGAGCATCAGGGGTGCAAGAAACTCTACCCACTGTTTCTCGCCAGAGCCGGGAATCGAACCCCGAACCACTCAATCACGCGTCCAGCGTGCTGTCCACTCAGCCACCTGCCCCCAATGTGTGAGTGTGTGCGCGCGCGCGTACATGCGTGCAAAGAGTGAGATGGTAAAGAAAACTTCTTTCAGAGATTAAGATGCAAATATAACAAAAGTCATTGTTACTGCCGAGGCGGAGGAGCGGAGTGGTGGGAAACACAGTGGGGGGGGGGGTGCAGGCGGGGACACACAGGCGGCTGCTTGTCACACCACCACCACACTGCCACACTCTGGGGCAACTCCTTGTAATGATCTTAATAACAAAGTTGTTTACTGTACGCCAGCAGGCTGGTCACGGCCACCTTGAAGGCATCGCAGCGCCACGGGCGAGTGGCGCCGGAGCCACAAGGCATTAATGGTGATGACACGTTACTCTAGCGCGGCTGAGAGATGATGGCCAGGCTGAGAGATTGTGGCCAGGCTGAGAGATGATGGCCAGGCTGAGAGATGGTGGCCAGGCTGAGAGATGGTGGCCAGGCTGAGAGATGGTGGCCAGGCTGAGAGATGGTGGCCAGGCTGAGAGATGGTGGCCAGGCTGAGAGATGGTGGCCAGGCTGAGAGATGGTGGCCAGACTGAGAGAGAGACCCTTGGGATTAGTTGAGTATGGGTTAGGTTCTTCCCGGTACACCTCCACAAGATCATATTGTCCTGCCGGCTATATTAATCTGTCTGGCCATTCTAGGCTCGCCAAGCCTTCCTAGAATGAGTTTGGATGATCATTTCATGGGGGCGCCCTCATCTCTTGCCTTACCCTTCCAAGTATATTTATATTTCCACAGCATAAACAGACACACATCCTCTCCATGGCATCAAGCCGGCGATGTTGTCCATACGGTAAACTACTGCTAACATGGCGTTAACTTCACCTCTACTAAGAAAAGGTATAATGTGAGATGAGACGGGGGTAGACTATTGTATATTAAAACCTCACCGTCCGTGGGAGTCTCGCCCACACACCTGGAGCATCACGCTCACAGGGGGAATGTGTGGGTGATGGGCCGGGCTGCCACCTGAATGCCTTCTGGGAAGTAAATGAGAATCGACTTGCTTAGTTCATTTCATTTATTGTGCAACTAATTCCTCTCTTGTGAGCA